CGTCATTGTTCAATAGAACCCCTGCATCTGATCCCCAAGTGAAAAAACCTGCCCTTCAATGGACACATTCTGTGTGTAATTTTGAATTCCAATTGGAATCCCAACAGTGACTGACTTCAATTTTGATCTTCCTCCATTTTCTGGCTATTTTTCCATTCTATTTCCACATTGGAATTCTTTCCAGGTTGTCCCAATCACTCTGCAACTGTCCTTCAGAATAATTGTCCAAATCCCTCCTTTAAAGTTTGATGCAGTCCCTTACATACTGGCTTGACGTGGCTGACTTGTGACAACCTCTGACCAGTTGTCATCTGGCTGACCAGTTTATTGTTAATTTTTCTCTGCGGTCTAATTGTACTCATTTCCTGAGAGATCTTGCCTCGCAGAGACAGTCCTCCTGACTGCGTTCAATATCCCACAACTGCAGTCAGCATAGACATTTTCTGTTCCATGTTTAAATCACTTACTCGAGCTTCAGTCAACTTTGTGAAGGCCTCTTCTACTTTTGGCCAGATATTTTTGCACACTTGATTGTTTCAGTTGTCTCTGAGCAGAAAGACTCCATGACTCCAGATCCCATGAAGTCTCGTGGCATCAGGTCAAGCAGGGGGAGAATCATAGAACCATACAATACAGAAGAGACCCTTTGGTCCAGCTAGTCTGTTCCACCAAAAATATACTGTCCCTTACGCTAGTCTCACCTTTCCTCACCCTTGAATACTATGACATTTCAAAGTGCTCATCCAAAAACTTTTTAAAGGTTGTGAGGTTTCCCACCTAAACCATCCTCCCAAGCAGTGCATTCCAGACCCCCACCACCCTCTGAGAGGAAACACCTTTCCTCAGCTCACCTCTAAACCTCCTGACTTTCACTGCAAAACTGTGCTCCCTTGTCATCCAACTTTCCACCTACAGGAACAGCTGCTTCCTATTCAGCCTTTCCATGCCCCTCCATATCTTCTGCACCCCTACGAGGTCACCCCTCAGCCTTCTCTGCTCCAAGGAACACAATCCAAGCTTATCCAGTCAGAACTGAAAGCTCCATCTCAGGCAACATCCTGGTGAATCTCCTCTGTACCCCCTCCCATACAATCACATCCTTCCTATAGTGCGGTGAACAGAACTGCACACAGTACTCCAGTTGTAGTCTAACCAAAATTCTGAACAGCTCCAACATAACCTCCTTGGTCTTATAATCTATGCCACGACTGAGAAAGGCAAGTTTCCTGTATATCTTCTGAACTATCCTGTTAATCTGTCCCACCACCTTCACAGATCCGTGGACAAGCTCCCCAAGAGCCCTCTGCTCCTCTGAGCTTCCTAGTCTCCTGCTATTCATTGAGCACTCTTGTACACCTCTATCACGTCACCTCTCATCCTTCTTCGCTCCAATGAAAAAAGCCCTAGCTCCCTCAACCTTTCCTCATAAGACCTGCCCTCCAGTCCAGGCAGCATCCTGGTAAATCTCCTCTACACCCTCTCTAAAGCTTCCACATCTTTTTTTATAATGAGGTGACCAGAACTGAACACAATATTCCAACTGTGGTCTAACCAGAGTTTTATAGAGCTGTAGCATAACCTCATGGCTCTTAAACTCAATTCCCCTGATTAAAAATTTATCTATCCCAGCCTTGAATACACTTAATGACCCAGCTTCAACAGCCCTCTGCAGTAAAGAATTCCACAGATCAATTCTCCTCTGAGACAAGGAATTCCTCCTCATCCCTGTCTTAAATGGGTGAAAAATTGAGTTTATGTGCCAAAGTCCCCAGAGAGTCTCCAGGATCAAATTAACTGGAATTCCCTGACACAGGAGAACAATAATTTGGAGTTGTACAACAGCTTTGAAGAAATCAAACCGCCAAAGGTCCTTAACAGCCTCAAAATTAATCGAAATTTGACAGCAAGCCACATGAGGAAATTAGATCAGATGATTAAAAGCTTAAGTAAAGAGTAGGGTCTTAAAGAGGAAACAAGGAAGTAGGGTAGAGATGAGTGGGAGGTAGGTGCCTAGGCAACTGGAGGTACAGTCCCAGGAAAATGTTTACCCCCTCACAGAAATTACTGAGTCCTAAGGATCATTCACCAGAAAGTGACCGATGCCCAACACTTTAATCGCAGACAGTAAAATAAAGCAAGACACCACAACAATAAGAAGAGTTGGCTGAGATGCATCATAAACACTGATTCTGCTAAACCTGAGCAAATTACCATGAAGCAAATTTCAAGCCAGTCTTTCTGTGTGTAAGAGATGTGGTAGTGGTTGAGACAGTGTGCGTAAATGTTGGATCAGAAGTGGGCATTTGAATTTTATCTGGTTTCTTGCCAGCGTTCATTCACATCCAGGTATCTGTTATTTTGTACACCAGTTTCTCACTCCCACTCTTGACAAAAACATCCATTAATTTATATATCAATAATCTGATTTAGATTCCAGTCTGTAACTCCCTCCTGGCTATCTGTTATTTATATATAAACGATCTGAAACCCTCGATTAAATTCCAGTCTGTAACTCCCTCCTGGGTATCTGTTATTCTATATATAAACCACCTCGATCCCCTCCATTAGATTCCAGTTTGTAACTCCCTCCCGGGTATCTGTTATTCTATATATACACCCCCTGAACCCCTCGATCAGATTCCAGTCTGTAACTCCCTCCCGGGGTATCTGTTATTCTGTATATAAACCACCCTGAACCCCTCGATTAGATTCCAGTCTGTAACTCCCTCCCGGGTATCTGTTATTCTATATACAAACCATCCTGAACCCCTCAATTAGATTCCAGTCTGTAACTCCCTCCTGGGGTATCTGTTATTCTGTATATAAACCACCCTGAGCCGCTCGATTAGATTCCAGTCTGTAACTCCCTCCCGGATATCTGTTATTCTATATATAAACCATCCTGAACCCCTTGATTAGATTCCAACCTGAGTAACTTCTGGATACAAAATATGATGCTCCATCAAACTCATCAACAAGGCAACAGGGTCTTATAGCCAACCTGATTTATACTGAGACAACAAGGTGCAGAGCTGGGTGAACACAGCCGGCCAAGCAATATCATAGGAGCAGAAAGGCTGACGTTTCGGGCCTAGATTTCTGATGAAGGGTCTAGGCCCGAAACATCAGCCTTTCTGCTCCTATGATGCTGCTTGGCCTGCTGTGTTCATCCAGCTCTGCACCTTGTTATCTCGGATTCTCCAGCATCTGCAGTTCCTACTATCTCTGATTTATACTGAGTCTGAACCGAGCAAATCCATCATTGTAAGAAATCCCAAAGTATTCTCCTCTCAGTCATTACAGACACCAAAGATAAATGGCTTGTACCAGGGGTTTATGTCACAGAATCTGGTCTGCACATCCCTGTGCGAAGTTTGTTTCACTATCTAAATTGCAGCTCTGAGAACCAGAGTTTGATTCAGAGTAAATTTCTCTGGAACAGGGGCTTGTTTGAAGGACTTAATTTCACAAAGGAGGGCCATAATATATAGGAGCAGAATAAGGTAATTTGGCCCATCAAGTCTGACCTACCATTTGATCATTACTGATATGTTTCTCAACCTCATTCTTCTTTCTGCTCCCAGTAACCTTTGATCCTCTTATTAGTCAAGAGCCTATCTATCTCTGTCTTAAATACACTCAATGACTTGGTCTCCACAGCCTTCTGTGGCAATGAGCTCCACAGATTCACCACACTCTGGCTGAAGAAATTCCTGCTTATCCCAGTTCTAAAGGGTCCTTCCCTTCACTCTTGAGGCCCTTGGGTCCCAGTTTCTCCCACTGGTGGGAGCATCTTTCCCACATCCACTCTACCCAGGCCTCTCAGTATCCTGTAAGTTTCAATGAGATTCAATGAGGAACAGCAGAGCGATCATCAGGATGAGTTTCACTCGAGTGAAAATCAAGGTTCAAGGGTACGAATCCTCGAAAAGGCGGAGAATTGACGAGATCTGAACAGCTCCACCTTTGATTTTGTCGTCCTCTGCAGATCATCGCAAGATTGCAAATAGTTTTGTCTTCAGTTTGGCCCAAGCAGGTCAATTTCTTGGTTCGCGAGCCTGTTTTGGTCTCAGCAATCCTATCCGACGCACTGTACATCATCCTAACCAGTGTGGGGTGAGAACCTTGAAAGCTGACGGTGTAAAAACATTCCGGAGCATTTGGCTGACCTGAAGGAGCGGGTGGCAATGTCTGATTGTCACTGCTCAGGTCAAGGCTCTAGTTCCAGACCTGTCACTGTCTCCTTCTCACCTCACTGCCAGGTCCTCATGACTTGGGGGGGGGGGGGGGCTTCGCATGTGGGCGGAAGTGTTGCCTTGCATTATCGTCTCACACATACAGAAAAACATGAAAAAGGCGCTGTTTGCCCCTGCTTCAGGGCTGTTTCAGTCCGCTTTCAATCCAGCAGAAGTGGGCTGCAAGTTTACAGAATGCTGGCTGGGAAAGGTCGGACTGAATGGTTGGAGGAAGAGGTGAAATTTCTTTTTTCATCAACCTGTTCAGAGTTGCTATCTCTCTCTCACACACACACACACGCCTCTGGGGCAAGTGGGGCTTGAGTCTGGGCCTCCTGGTCCAGGGGTAGGGACACTACCAGCCAGTCAGAGCCTTGTGGACGTTTGGGAATGGAAGTGTTGGCGATGCAGGAAGTGGATATGAGGGGCTGTTTACACAAAGCTCATTAAGGAGCAGGATTGAGTGAGAAGCGAATCTGGTTGATGTTCGATATCAGCCAGTGAGGGAGAGATAAGGGGGAAATGCCAGGTCACTGAGCGTTGGCCAATTACTGGGAGCAGGCTCCCTTGCTCACTCAGACGTCAGGCAAGTTATTTTTCCAAACAAAAAGTTTGGGTCAGCGTTGTGTTTGAATGAGAGCCGCGGAGAGAGCGAGCAGGATTAAGCAGCTCCTGAGCCAGTGTGGGAGTGAGTGCAGGTTTTCCGCAATACCCTCCAACCCAGATACACACACACACACACAGAGAGAGAGAGAAGCTGCAAGGATGTGGAGGAGTCTATATCTCCTGGGCGCAGTGCTCTGTCTCACAGCCAGCATCCCCATAGAGAACAGGGCAGACCTGAGCCAAGCACCTCCCCGTTACCTGCTGGAGGATGAGCCCCAGGCCGAGGACACAGCTGACTTTAGCAGCCTGCTAGCCAAGATGAAAGCGGAGTTCCTCAAGTCCCTCAACTTGTCAGGGAGTCCCGGAGAGCCAGGGCACAGACCGCAGCCCCCTGAGTATATGCTGGACCTGTACAACAGGTTTGCCAACGACAGAACCGCCATCCCTTCCTCCAACGTGGTCAGGAGCTTCAGGAATGAAGGTAAGGCTCTCCCCCTCAACATCCCCAGCCCCTTCCTATCCCCTCTCCTCCAGCGGGTCACACCTTCAGGGGCTTTAGCCAACCAGCCTCAGCTGACCCGGGGAATGGGGTGGGGGGAGACGGGCTGCTGTTTTCTGAACCCCTCCCGCTGCCAGGCCGGTGGGACACACTCGGGCTGGCAGAGCAGCACAGTGGGCAAACCTTACCCGGGAGTCCCAGCGTAGCGGGGCCAGGGGCTCACTTTGTGGTGCTTTATCCCAACACCCAACATTCCCAGGGAATGCAACTGCTCTTTCCAATCTAACATTCCCAGAGAATGCACTGCACTTACAAATCCAACATCGCCACGGAATACAACTGCTCTTTCCAATCTAACATTCCCAGGGAATGCACTGCACTTACAAATCCAACATCGCCACGGAATACAACTGCGCTTTCCAATCTGACATTCCCAAAGAATGCACTGCACTTACAAATCCAACATCGCCACGGAAATACAACTGCTCTTTCCAATCTAACATTCCCAGGGAATGCACTGCACTTACAAATCCAACATCGCCACGGAATGCAACTGCTCTTTCCAATCTAACATTCCCAGAGAATGTAACTGCAATTTCCAATCCAACATTCCCAGAGAATGCACCTGCTCTTTCCAATCCAATATTCCTGGTGAGTGCATCTGCTCTTTCCCATCTAAAATTTCCAGGGAATGCACTGCTCTTTCCAATCATTTATTCCCAGAGAATGCATCTGCTCTTTCCAATCCAACATTCTCAGAGAATGCAACTGCACTTTCCAATCCACCATTCCCAGATAATGCATCTGGTCTTTCTAATCCAGTAGTCCCAGGGAATGCATCTGCCCTTTCCAATCCAACATTCCCAGAGAATGCAATGACACTTTCCAATCCAACATTCCCAGAGAATGCAATGACACTTTCCTATCCAACATTCCCAGAGAACAGAACTGCACTTTACAATCCAACATTCCCAGAGAAAGCAACTGCCCATTCCAGTCACTGACCCTGATGGATAATAATAATTTCACTGAGGGTAGGGACAGGTATAACTGACCCTGATCGAAATGTAATGAACTCTGTAATGATGTATTTGCCATACTGACCCTCCTATAAGTTGACATTCAGTTGATTATAATGGACTCCAGTTCCTGCCTCTTCTTTCATATCCTGAACAGCTTGCCCCCTCTCTGTCACCCTTCTTCAGACCCCAACCCTGCTTTATTTCCACTCACATGCTGTTTCTCACTTGCTCGTGCCTGTGCCCTAGCCTCGTGAACTGCCTATTTAAATCTCTCAGCCTTCCTCTTGTCCTTCAAGACATCATGTAAAAAAAATTCCCTTTCCACCTCAGGAAGGAGTCTGAAGACCTCATCCTCAGGCTGGATTTCAAACGTTCTGTTGAGCTGCCTTGTGTGAAACATTTCAGCCTAGAATCACAGAGTTATACAGCTCAAAAGCAGACCCTTTGGTCCAACTCATCTATGCCGACCAGATATTCTACATTACTTTGATTGCATTTGCCAGCATTGGGCCCATATCCCTCCAAACTTTCCTATTCATGTCCAGACGCCTTTTAAATGTTGTAATTGTCCCCATCTCCAGGTAGGTTTTAATCCTGTTAAGGTCTGAGTCTAGACCCAAGTCCAGCCAACAACAGAGGTTGACTGATCAGTGCAATGCCAATCCATAAAGATTCATGACAAAGTCCTTTCATATATTGCTCCTGAGTGAGCAACATTATCGATCTCTGCCATTATCACAGGCCTGTGGATTAGATGTGCCTAGTGACATATCTATCTGCATCCAATATTTAATGTGGTTGCAGAAAGCACAGAAACTACAGGAAACAAAAAGTGCTGGAGATCACAACGGGTCAGGCAGCATCCATGGAGAGAAAGCAAGCTCATGTTTAGAGTCTAGGTCTCTCTCTCTTCCTCAGAGGCTTCAGTTGACCTCATCTTCCTCGGAGTATCAAACTACACTGAGTCATCTAGTTTCCAGCCAGATGAAATGCCCAGTTTACAGCATCAGTCAGTGAAAGAGGCAGGATCATCCAAGTTTGATTTTTAGGCTTCTGAGTGAATGTCAACTTTAGTGGTACCTGTAACTTTTTTTGGCTAAGCATTTTTGTCTGTTCCAGACCTGTCACTAGGCAACCAAACTGATGATGTGAGGATCCATTCTCTGCTCTTCAATGTGTCAGTTCCTCACCATGAAGAAATCACCATGGCTGAACTCCGTCTCTTCACCCTGGTCGATATGGACCGGAAAATATACGAAGGAGTGGGCAGGAGAGTCACCATCTATGAAGTGAATGGCCAGCACGATGAAAGGACAGCAAATGATTCCATTCTGGTGAAATTAGCCGAAAGGCAAATGTACAGCAGAGACAGCAGCTGGGAGACGTTTGATGTGACTGAAGCGATAATGAGATGGTCAAAGTTGGACAGTACCACTCACCGGCTTCAGGTGCACATTGAAAACGTGGAAGGCAAAAAGGATGACGAGGGAAGACTTGACATTGACACGAAGCCAGAGACGAATCACATGCCCTTGTTAATCGTGTTCTCCGATGACAGAAATAGCATCAAAAAAGAGGCCATTGAAGAGTTGGAGCAAATGATTGACCATGAGAAAGATGTGGCCTTTCAGAGCTTGAACAATGAAAATTTTGGCTTGAGCGAAGAAACTTTGCTGCAGAGGCAGTCAAACATGCTCTACGACACCTCCTCCAGGATCAGGAGGAGCGCGAAAGGCAGCTACTGCAAAAGGAGTCCCCTCTACGTCGAATTTAAGGACATTGGGTGGGACTCCTGGATTATAGCCCCATCAGGATATGAAGCGTATGAGTGCAAAGGCTTCTGCTACTATCCACTGACAGAACAGGTCACCCCAACCAAGCACGCGATTGTTCAAACTCTGGTTAATCTCCGTAACCCCAAAATGGCAGCAAAGGCTTGCTGTGTCCCCACTAAACTGGACCCCATCTCCATCCTCTATGTGGATGATGCAGGTGCGGTCACATATAAATTCAAGTATGAAGGTATGGTAGTGGCTGAGTGTGGTTGCAGATAGTACAACAGCATGAAGACAAAGTAACTCTAATATATATGAATGTCCAAAGTATTTAAGAACTACGGTTGTAAATGTGTACATTTTTTTTATCTGCCTATTTAAGATGCTTATTTAAGGACCCATGTACAGCTAAATTTGCAGTTTATAATGAATCGTGTGTAAATCACTTGTTTTAAGAGGTCACAGAAACTCGCTACATTCCTAAAAAAAATTCTGGGAACGTTTCGGAGATAATTGGCAAAAACAAACCCACAAAGAAGATTGAGAAATTTGTTCCCTTTCCTTCAAAAAGTGGGAACTGCAGCAGTAATGAAAGTGATGGAACCTCTTGTGCCTTTGCTCCACATTGGAGTTGGAATGTCTGCACGTTGACGAACACATCTTGCAATATTTCACTTTATGAATGTTGAAGTGGATTTTCAAACACCTCGTTTGGTCAAGCGTCAGGAGCTGTTCTGATAACCTCTTGCATGCAGGACCAGTTGTCTCCCCTGTTCTCCTGTATTGCAGCAAATACATTGCCAAATGGTTGCACCTACTTCCATTTTGGCGGTGTCCCTGTTTCCAGCTTTCGGAAGGCTGAGAGCATACTACTTGGCTATCACACACGCTTGGAGCCTCCACTCATGAAGGGGAGGCAAGCAGGAATCACTGACCATTTCCATACGTGGCTGCATCATTTCCAGTTGGGTTACTCCAAGGCTGCTGTCAAATTGGAAACTATGAGTGGCGACAGATCTCTCTGACTGTTTCAGATATTTCCCAGTCAACGTGTTCGCGCGTATTGTAACACACCTCCTGAGCAGCTGGGACTTGAGCCCAGGCTTTCTATCTCAGAGGCAGGGACACTAGCCCTACACCACAAGAGTCCAACATTGATCCTTTGCAGCTCGCTACCTGATCTGTGTTATAGAACATAGAACATAGAACATTCGGCCCTTGATGTTGCGCCGACCTGTGAAACCAATCTGAAGCCCATCTAACATAAACTATTCCATTATCATCCATATGTTTATCCAATGACCATTTAAATGCCCTTAAAGTGGGTGAGTCTACTACTTTTGCAGGCAGGGCATTCCACGCCCTTACTACTCTCTGAGTAAAGAGTGTTGCCCCTCAGCAACATTGAGTTCAATCTCTTTCCAGGTCAGCTTTCCAAATGGGCACAGTGCTGAACAGATAACCAGAGGAAAGTTGGTTCAGTAACTTGTTTGGTAAAGTGAAGCATCTCAAGAAACTTTCACAAGGACTAATCATTAGATGTAATACTGTACATGTTAGTGTGGGGGAAATTGGAACTAAGTAATGGCGCTGATTTGAAGAGCTAGTGCAAGCACAGTCGGGCTGAATAGCCTCCCTTCTGCACGGTAACAGTTCTGTGATTGTGTGATTAGGAATGTGAGACTGAAGGTTTGCTGCAAAGTGTCAGTTTTCAATGCTACCTTAAAGGAGGAATGAGAGCGTTTAGGAAGGGAGCTCCACAGCATGAAGATGTAGTTCCCAACGTTGGAGTCGGGGGCACTGATTTCACCTTTTCTTTGATGTAACTGTACTAAATGTACATAAAGATTGGTGAAATATCCATGGGGGCTGTTCATTTCAAGAGGAGATGGTGCACCAGTAGTACTCACTGGGAGCGAAGTGCAGTTGGTGTGAAATGCTGTTGCCCTTGCTCACGGTGGATGGCTTGCAGTCTAAGGCACAAAATCCTGTGGAGGTAGATCATGTCGATAGCAGCTGAAGGGACATCCCCTGAAAATGTACATCATTGTATCACAACAAAGGGGAAAATTCAGAACTGCACAGTAGCTGTACCATTCCTGGGCTGGAAGAGACAACTGGACAGCAAGATTTGGATGAGAATTTTCAAATGGAAGTGCAGCCAGATCAGGAGGAACCCAGACATAACATGGTGTAGAGCTGGATGAACACAGCAGGCCAAGCAGCGTCATAGGAGCAGGAAGGCTGATGTTTCGGGCCTAGACCCTTCTTCAGAAATGGGGGAGGGGAAGGGGGTTCTGAAATAAATAGGGAGAAAGGGGTAGGCGAATAGAAGGTGGATAAAGGAGAAGATAGGTGGAGAGGAGACAGACAGGTCAAGGAGGCGGGGATGGAGCCAGTAAAGGTGAGTGTAGGTGGGGAGGTAGGGAGGAGATAGGTCAGTCCAGGGAGGATGGACAGGTCAAGGGGGCGGGATGAGGTTAGTAGATAGGAGATGGGGGTGGGGCTTGAGGTGGGAGGACGGGATAGGTGGGAGGAAGAACAGGTTAGGGAGGCGGGGACAAACTGGGCTGGTTTTGGAACAGGAGGAACCCATGTAGGTCAGGAGCATGGGTGATGAGGGATCAGCGCTGTGTGTTCTCAATGAGTTCTGGTTGACAGGGTGGGTGAGGGGAAGGGAACGTGGGGAAGTTGGGAGTAGGAGTGGAGTCAGGCGGTGTAACGGAGGTACGAGTAGATTGTCTTTGTGAAGAGAGAGGATACTGGTGGTCAAGCTTGTGGGAGAATCTTCAGGCAGCTTGAGTCAGTGACCAGAAAGGGGAGTTTGTGACCAAGGACAATGTTGGAACTGGGGCTTGGTCGGGTGACTAATATCATTAATCCAGAGGGATAGGTTCATGTACTGGGGACCTGGGTTCAAGTCCCACAGTGGCAGGGAGGTGAAATGTGAACTTAAAAACAAAGCCCTGCAGTCAGAGCCTACCTTAATGCTGACTGGTCAGCTACTGTCTATCTGTTATAAAAAACCCATGTGGTTCATTCAAGTCCCTTAGGGAAGGAAATCTGATGTCCTTACCTGGTCCACATGTGACTCCAGACCCACAGTGATGCCATTGAAAGTTGACAGCCCAGTGAAATGCAAACCATTGCATTTACTCCAGTTGGTAAGACCCAAATCTCACGAATGAATGTTACATTAAGTGCAAAAGATGAGAAACAGGAGGGCATATTGAGAGAGAGTCCCTGCTGAGGGAGAGATGGGTGTGATCACTCACCATGCATGTGTATAAGCGACCTTGTGCTGGTACTGAGGGGTTGACAGGTAGATCTCTACAAGAGTGCAAAGGGATCGCTTCCAGTCAACCAAACAAAGCAATAATGATCAAGTGTTCTCATGGACTGAGACTGCAGGATCACCGGCTTCAAAATGAGTACTGGGCCTCACCTCGAATAACGTTATCACCTCTTCCTATTGAATCTGATGACCCTTATCCCCATGATGGCTCCCTATGAGAGTTTCTGTGACCTCCCTCGTGTGTGTTTGTGGGTTTTGTTGTTGTTGTATATATCTGTAAAGATGAAGTGCTTTTGGATGTGTTTGAAAAAGCGGGCGTTATTTTGATTGTTGGACGATAACTTCCCGGAGATTGGCTGAGATGGTGACTTGTCCTGGTCCTTGTAAAGATGCGGTCTCACCAACTTCAACAGCACCAACAAATCCAGGGAACAGCCGTTCCTTCTCGTGGAGTTAGTTTTATCATGGCAGGAGACACTACAGTGAGACAAGTGGTCTCATTCTGCCTGGTTTTCAGGGATCAGGTTGAGGGGAAGCAGTGTTGCAAAGTGGACCAGCTGATGGGCTGGCACACCAGTTAGGAGGTGTTCAGGCGCCCAGACAAACCCACTATGTGGCTTTTCCCTCCCATCCATTGTCTCCCATTTAAATATGGTTGTGGTGTTATCCTTGTCAAACACTGTGCTGAGGAGGTGTACCGTGGAAGGAGCTGTGTCCCTGAGCTGTGAACATTTTGCACCTTCTATGCGGACCCACATCTTGTTCTCCCCACTGCCCCAAGTCAGAATTCACCACCTCCTTCTTCCCTGTCAAACTTTCTCTCTCCCTTTCCCTCACTTCCTTCACGCCATGTCCCACATCCAAGAGAACAGTGCTCCAACTCCAGGCCGAAGATCCATCCCCATTGATTTCTGTTCTTAATTTCCCCCAGTTAGTTTTTAAAGATACAATCTTTAAAATCAGAGAATGTCTGAGATTATCCAGTGAGCATCATGGATGTTCTCCCGTTGGTCAGACACAGGAAATTGCTGGAGAAACCCAGCAGTTCTAGTAGCATCTGTGTAGAGAGAGTGAGAGAAAACCAAAATGAAGATTCCCAGTCCAGTGTGAGCTATCTCCAGAGCAGGACTGTGATCTGAACAAGGCTCACACTAGACTCAATACCTTAACTCTGCTTTCTCTCTCTCTCTTTCTGTCTCTCTCTCTCTGTCTCTCTCTCTCTCTGTCTCTCTCTCTGTCTGTCTCTCTCTGTCTCTCTCTCTCTCTCTGTCTCTCTCTGTCTCTGTCTCTCTCTCTCTCTGTCTCTCTCTCTGTCTCTCTCCCTGTCTCTCTCTCTCTGTCTCTCTCTCTCTCTGTCTCTCTCCACAGAGGCTGCAGGAGCTGCTGAGTTTTGGTGAATTTTACATCTTCAGCATCAGCAGTTCTTGGTTTGGTTTGATTGTGAGCGAGTACAGTTAAGTCTGTCATTTCTTCGTTCACCAGGTTGGGTGCGGGCACTGCAGGCACACACAGGCTCGCATTTACAACATTCTGATCCCATCTCCCCTCCAAACATGGAACTTTGCAAAGAGACTTACTCAGGCTTTGTCAAGTCACCCAGTCAATGTCGTACCATGCAAATAGTGATGGATGCCAGCTCTGTTCCTGATGAACCTCTATCGAGGATGTTCGGACACCCCTCCGGAGAGGGAGGGTGGCTCTCCTGGTTCAGAGGTCAGGACACTACCCCCTAGATCCTGGCCATCCCTGGACCCTTGTTCCCAGTGGCAGTTTCCATTCCAGTGGGCCAGCTCACCTCTTGCGCAGTCCTGCCAGACACAACATCAAATTGCTGTCACACGCTTTTCCTGGCAACCAGAGGGAGCCCGAGATAAGGAGGCGACAGAAGCCGAGAGGGATGGGAGCCTGTCATTTGCTTTATCCTCAGCTGCACAGTTGTCAGATCCTTGGGCGAGTGTGGCTGACGTGAAAGATCCCTCTGCTC